TATCTGACGTTCTTCCAGATACGACGTGTCTCCTTTTCGATGTTCTTCCGAAATGTTCTGATGTTGTCTCTCCCTATATGTTTTCTGGTGAGTCCTGAAGATCCCGCTCGATCTCTTCAAGGAATATCCCGAAAACTCTAGCGTCTGTCGTTTACCTGGTCCTGCCTCCGTGTGGATCATATGTTACCTTGTCACCACCGCGTGTCTTCTTCCCCAGTGCATTTCCTCGTTGCGCCGTCCCCTGTGACGTTGTTTCGTCTGCATCCGTGCATTTTTTTCATTTTCATCATACGCATCATATTAGATTCATGGCATTGTCAGCATTATAGTTCGTGTTATTTTGTCCATATCATTGCATATCACTGCATCTAGAGGCCAAATTTTCGGTTATCTGTATTTAAATCCCTTTCACCGCGATTTCTCGAGTCTCCGCTGCTCAAATCATCCGGTGAAGCTATTTAAATAGGGGCATCTGTTGCACCCCAAATTTGTCCTACCTTTACATAGTTTCTAGTGCCACTTTATTTTGAATGAATAAAATGGCACAATTGGCAAGAGACCGTGTGTAAGGAGTTGTGAGTGTGAGAGGTCGAGAGTTCAAATCCCACCTTCTTCACTTTTTGTTTTTCTTTTATTTTTGTTCTAACTTTTCTATTTTTCATAAAAAAAAATAACAAAAATAGTTTTTTTAATTATTTAATTATTATTTTCGTATTTTATTTAAATTATTTTTTTAAAAATATTATTTTTCACTTTTTTCCATATTATTCATAAAAAAACATCAAAAAATCAAAAAATTAAAAATATTAGAAAATATTTTATTATATTTAGTAAATAAATAGAGTTTTAAGTTGTTTTAAGTTTGTTTTAATTTAGTTTTGACTAATTCTTTAAGTTGGGCTTTAAAGTGGGAATTAGGTTAGAGCTAACCCTAATTTGTTACCTATATAAACATAAGTGATGGGAGGAAACTTCATTCACATCAGAAAATCAAGAACAGGTCATCAGAAAAGGAGACAAAAAGAAAAACGGCGGTCGTCAAGATCCGGAGGTTCAGAAGAGTTTCGAAGCTCATCATCATCGCCTCCATTTGAGAAAAAGGAAAAGAGATCCAAAGAAGTTCGTCGAGAACCATTGCCGCCGGCGAAGAACAAGCGAAAGCATCACCAACCGGCAACTGAAATGTAAGCTTTTATGTTATCCCAATTAAAACCTCTTCCAAATAATTAAACTCTCATTTCATTTTTTAAACCTTTTCTTTTTTTCTAACTAAAAACCCTTTTTGTGAATTATAACTAAAACCAGTTTTGATTATAATTACAGTAAGTAAAAAACTTAAAACTTTTTCTTAATTAAAACACTAACCACTAATAATTTTTTTTAATAAATAAACAGTGTTTAAAACACTTTTATAGTTAAGTGAAAACATTTTTACTAACTTAAAATTAACCCAGTCCTAAAATTAAAACTTTTTTTTAAGTATTAAAATTAACATTTTTTTTTAAGTTTTAAAGATTAAAAATTAAAACATGTTAGAAAGGGTTAAAACTTTTTTCTAAAACTTTCTTTAAAATTTTAAAACTAACATTCTTTTAAAGTAAGACTAACGAACCTTTTTTTTTTATGTAAACTTCTTCTTAAAAAAAAAAACTTATGATTAGAGTTTTTTTTAATTTAAGACTTTCTCTTTTAAAAATTAAAATTAAAATTAAAACTTTCTAAAGATAAAAAGTTAAAACTAAAGTTTTGTTTATTTAAAAATTAAAACCTTTTAAAATTAAGACTAAAATTTTAATAAAAAAAAATATAAAAATTAACAAAACAATAATAAAAATTCCAAATTGCATTTTCGTGTTTCTTTTAATATAAAATATGTTTGCCATATTTTCGTCTAACTTTTCACTAACGTTCTCTGTTTCTCTCCTCAGATTATACATAGATTATGATTCATATTTATTTTAATTTATTTTGTTCCATGGATGTAATTTACGCGAGGCCATGGTCGCGATTTATTTTGTTTTTGTTTTTTTTGGGATTTGTAATTTACGCGAGTGATCGTCGCGACGCTTTCTTTACTTTCCGCACTTTAATTTTGCCGTATAATATTTTGTCATGTTTGCATGTTTTACCGTTAGAATTCCCTCCGAAGGAATTAGGTCTAGTTGTTTGACCGCCGAGTCAATAACCCTAGTTTTAGCCGTCTCAAACCCTAATTAACCTAGGCGTCCCGCCGTGGACAAAAATACCCTTTACCCTAGTTTTAGGTCAAAGAGTCGCCGTACTTTGTTTTAGGGTTTCCCGCCGTGGAATCCCTAATTTCAACCCTAAATTTTTAATTAACAAATTCAACATAGAAATAGGAGTTTCAAAGACTCCACGTAAGCGTGTCCTTAAGATACGTTTATTCCCCATTGAAACCTTGACCATAGTCAAGATGTTTCTAACCTCCCTTTCGAGGGGAACTACGATTACTCTGATTCCATTCCCTATCCAGGATACGTAGGCACAAGACGCGACGTCTTGCCGAGTAAACTTAGGACTAACCCTTAGGTCTTTAGGTCACTCTATCCCTTAGTAATATATTTCAAACAGATAAAAAAAATAAAATAAAAAAGCATACAATAAACAAAAGGTTCCTGTAGAGTACTACAGAAGTTTAGGGTGCTAGTACCTTCCCTAAGCTTAACCAACCCCTTACCTAGATCTCTCCCCGCATTGTCTTTACGATGCAAAATTAGGTTTTCCTCTTTTGACCTTTTCCTTCGGATAAATCAAAGAGCGGTTGTGAACTAAAGATGCGATTCAAAGTAATTAATAATTTGATATCATATTCTAACCGCAACAATATGTCTCCGCTACATCTTACCATAGCATCAATAAGGCATATGATACTACGACATCCTACCATAGCAACATACACCCAAGAATCACACCACTAAAGTACCCAAACATCACACCGCCAAAGCACCCAACCAACACGTGGTTACCAAACACCACAAAAACCATTGCTTCATTACCAAAATTAATCAATGTCCCAATTCAACAGACCAACCCACCCACATATAACCCAACCAACATGACTAAACTACGACGACATGAGCACCAAACTCGATTATGGCAACGCGTCCTATTATAGATGGCATGAGATGCTTGATTTCATGGATAACACTAATATCCTAGGGACCTCGCACCAAACACATCAGGTGAATCCTGAGAGGCACCAAATTCCTCAGGAGAATCGTGAAAGGCCTCAACGAAAAAAGAACAACGTTGAGGTGTGGAATTGGTGGCCGTTATGATCAAGCATATTGTTAAAATATGCTTACAATTTTTTTTTGCATATGATTCTATTTAAATTAAATAATATTAGTATTTAATTTTTTTATTGTCCAATTTTTATTTTATTTTTTATTATAAATTTAATTTAAAAATTAAAAAAAATACTGTTCTGGTCTGGGCCCAACCTCGGTCCAGCCCAATACCACGCACGACCCAATAAGTGAACTGGTCACACCGGGCACGCGCGTCCCACAGGACGGGCAGGGCACGCCCCCAGCCATAGGCGACGCGTCCGACGACTTCTCAACGTCCTCTCTTATCGGCCGAACAGGACACACCCCGGTGCGTCGAAGCGAGACCTTTTGTTCCTCCACACCCTCGCGTTCCCCTCCGCGGGGAGAACAACCTGCTTCCGGGGAACCTCCTGAGCTCCCCTCCGCGGGGAGAACAACGTGCCCGACGCACGTTCTCCACGTGCTCCCCTCCGCGGGGACACGTCATCAACCAACTGCCCACCTCCGAAAGAGCAGGTCAAACCCACTTTCCGGAGATCAAGGAGCAGTTGGACTAGGGCGAAGACCACGTCCTGGTCTTCACTACGCCACGTAAGCCCTAGCAGTCATTAGGGTTGGGCCTGGTCATCCAGCCCACCTCAAATGACCGTTGGCCCAGCGCTGGGGTCTCTCTATAAATACCCTCTTCCACAAGAGGGTCAGGTAACACACTTCTTACCCCTCTTTCTGTACTTCGCCATCGCTCTGCCCAACTTCTCACTTTTGCATCAGAGTGTTTTGCAGGTATACCCCCCTTTTCTTCCTCATCACCGGTGAGCAAGCAGCAGTCCAACAGAGTGTGGCCAGACCGTGATCCCCTTCTGATCAGGTCAGATCAAATACAAATATGCTAAATCTATTGACGCCTCCTCTTTAATCTACAATTCACGTGTCAATTTATTGACGCATTAGTTGTGCATGCGTCAATGAAATAGACACTTATGTACTTTTTTGAATGCATGTGTCAATAAGTGACGCCTCTCCAATTTTTTTATATTTCCAACCAGAGTATTTTGGTATATTGCTAGAAAGCATAGTTATTATTATTGTAGTAATTAAATTTAAAAAATTATTATTGAATTTTTTTTCCAATTTAGCTATCCCATCAACTCAAATATTGGAGTTAAATATTATGATAAAAAAAATTATCTAAGTCCTATATAAATAAATACTGATGTGAGTTTCTAAAAATATTTTAAATATTTTATTAAAAAAAAACAGAACAAAATGGTTGGATCGTAGATGAACAATAAAATTTCCATATATAATATGAACAATAATTAATTTGGAGACTTTTTTTCTTGCCAAATTGAAAATATTTGATAAAAAAATGAAAGGAAAAAACAAGCAAATATTTATATATTGTTTCCTAGAAAAAAGCGAAAAAAACATGCAAGAAATCGAAAGCTTTCTGTTTTAGCAAGGAGGATACAGTACATTACATGTCCACCACAGCATCTCTCGTATTCTTCGCTAACAACAACAACGTTGGCAAACCCATGAAACTGCTGTCAACGTTAACTTTACATCATGCAACTCTCTCCCTCCATTTTAAAACCAAACACCATGCATTTCTCCCTCTCTCACTCTCTTCCCCCTGACATTCTTTGATTTAAATATCCACCATCGCCACCATCACCACCACCACCGGTTATCCTGACCCGGCTAATGGGTCAGCATAGCCGCCGCGAGTCCTATCCTTCCGTCTCGTCATCGCGTATCGACTTCCTCCAACGCCGTCTCGATACAGTCACCGAGGACGATCTAGAATGGCCGTTCGAGAAGTTGGACGGGTTGAACGCTGAGGATGTGAGGGAAACAGCGTACGAGATTTTTTTCACGTCATGCCGATCAACGCCGGGGTTCGGTGGACGTCACGCGCTGACGTTTCATTCGAATCACGAGAATAATGGAGGAAACGGGGATGGTGGAAAATTGAACCAGGTGGTGACGAAGCCGACGAGTAGGGTGAAGAGAGCGCTTGGTTTAAGGCTTATTAAGAGATCGCCGTCGAAGAGAATGAATAGCGGAGGTGTTTCTTCATTGCCGTCGTCTCCGGTCGGTGGAGCTGCTAGTCCTCTTTCAAACACGGTGCCTCCTTTTAGGCCGCGACGACCAATGACCGCCGCGGAGATAATGAGACAGCAGATGAGGGTGACGGAACATGATGATAATAAGTTGCGCAAGACCCTTATGAGAACCGTTGTTGGTCAAGTATGTTTTCCTTTTCTTCTTTATATTTTCTATTTTCTATGCTTCATGTTCATTCATGTCATACAATTTTAGATCTTAATTTTCTGAACACAAGACAATGAAGACATGCAAATAATTAACCAAAATTACAAAAATTAAACATCATTAAATGTCTCTCTCATGTTAGGTTCTTGAATGTATTTCCATTTGTTAATAGAGAAACTAGATGGTTGTGACAACCAATGACCAACATCTATTCTGTCAAAAGACGAAGATATTTTAAAATTACTTGCATGATATGGCAGAATGATAGTTTCTCATTAGATGATAGTGTAAAATTATTTTACAGTATCGATGCATGACGATTAAACTCTTGTTAATATGGATCCCATAGCTAGTTGCATGAAAATTTTCAGGTGGGAAAGAGAGCAGAAACTATAATTCTACCATTGGAACTGCTTCGACACCTAAAGCCATCAGAATTCAGTGATTCAAATGAGTATCATATGTGGCAAAAGAGACAGCTCAAAATCCTTGAAGCAGGACTCCTCTTAAACCCATCACTCCCTTTAGAAAACAACAACACATTTGCCTTGCGTCTTCGAGACATCATAGACAGCGGTGAGTCCAAACCGATAGACATTGGCAAAAACTCAGACACAATGAGAACTCTTTGTAATTCTGTTGTTTCTTTGTCATGGAGAAGTAACAACGGTACTCCCACTGATGTTTGTCACTGGGCTGATGGATTCCCTTTCAATATTCACCTCTATACTGCTCTTCTTCACTCGATTTTTGATATTCGGGATGAAACATTAGTCCTTGATGAAGTTGATGAGCTTCTTGAACTCATGAAGAAAACATGGTCGACATTAGGGATCACGTTGCCTATTCATAACATATGCTTCACTTGGGTTCTGTTTCAGCAGTATATAGCTACCGGACAGATTGAACTTGATCTTCTTTCTGCATCGTATGTTATGTTGAATGAGGTTGCAAATGATGCTAAGAGGGAGAAGGAGTCTTTGTATGTTAAGATTCTTTCCTCGGTGTTGAATTCGATGCAGGGTTGGGCTGAGAAGAGGTTGCTTAATTATCATGAATATTTCCAAAGAGGGAATGCTTCTCAAATCGAACACCTTGTTCCTGTCGCATTGTTGGCCTCGAAGATTTCAGGAGAAGATCTTACAATAACAGATGGAGAAAAGGGTGAGAGAAGAGACATTACCATTGTGGATTCATCCGGTGACCGTGTTGATAACTATATCCGTTCTTCCATGAAAAACGCATTTGAAAAGGTGAGGTTTGCGTTTAATTTTGATATACTGTCAGTGTAAAATGTTTTCCAGTGTCAGCAAATCACAAACAATCATAATGTCTTTCTTTTAATCATGAAGGTATTGGAGACAGTGAATGCCAAATACAATGAATATGAAAGAAATAAAGAATTGAGTGAACTTCTGCTACAATTAGCCCTCGAGACCGAAGTCTTGGTGATGAAAGAAAGGCAACATTTCAGTCCAATACTAAGGAAATGGCATCCAACATCAAGTGCAGTTGCAGCAATGATGTTGCACACATGCTATGGCCAAGTTCTGAGGCAGTATGTAGGTGAAGTGACCTCATTGACATCTGAATCAGTTCAAGTATTGCAAAGGGCTGGCAAGCTAGAAAAACTAATTGTCCAAATAGTTGTTGAAGATTCTAATGATTGCGATGACGGTGGAAAAACCATTGTGAGACAGATGGCTCCATTTGACGTTGATTCAGTCATGTTAAGTCTTCTTGGAAAATGGATTGATGATTCACTCAATAAAGGCAAAGAGAGTTTGCAAAGGGCAAAAGAGACTGAAGTAAGTTTTGGCTTTACGATGATGACACTTTTTATGTGTTTAATTTATTGTTACTTTACCATAAAATATATGGTTACAATTCATTTTTGTTGCAGACATGGAATCCAAAGTCTAAAACAGAACTCTATGCACAATCAGCTTATGAGCTAATGCAATTGGCCGCGACCACCGTGGATGAATTCTTCCAAGTTCCAATACCAATTACAGAAGATTTAGTTCAAGATCTTGTTGATGGATTGGAAAATCTCTTCATGGACTACATGAAATTTGTTGCAGCTTGTGGTAAGAAATTGATTTTGAATTCATCAATAGAGAAAAATAAACATGTTAGACTAAAAGATATACAAGAAAAGTGTGCTATGTTCATGGCTTTTCTTTTGAAATCGGTTTCTTTTTTTCAGGTTCAAAACAAAGTTACATTCCTTTACTTCCTCCATTAACAAGGTGCAATCGGGACTCGAAATTCATCAAGATGTGGAGGAGAGCTTCTCCATGCGGCGCTGGTTTTGAGGATACATATCAAATTAACGGAGCAAACGAAGGTCACAATCCTCGTCCTTCAACTAGCCGAGGAACACAGCGTCTCTATGTTCGTCTCAACACCTTGCATTATCTCCTCAGTTCCATCCACTCCCTTGAAAAATCGATTTCAACAAACCCCGGTGTTGTACCTTCTAACCGCCTTCGTTTTGCAAATAACCGAAGGACACAAACCAGCAACGCTTCCTATTTTGAAACCATTAACATGTCTATTCTAGCATCATGCCAAAATGTCTCGGAAGTTGCCGCATACCGTCTTGTATTCCTTGACTCAAGTTCTGTCTTCTACGACAGGCTCTACGTCGGCGGCGTAACAAGGGGGCACATTAGGCCTGTGTTGAGAATCCTGAAACAGAATGTGATACTGATGTCAACTATTCTAACAGATAGAGCTCAACCATTGGCAATGAAGGAAGTAATGAAGTCTTCTTTCGACGCATTCCTTATGGTTTTGCTTGCCGGTGGAAGCACAAGGGTGTTTCACAGATACGATCACGACGCACTCCAAGAGGATTTCATGAACCTGAAGAGAGTTTTCAGCAACAATGTGGAAGGTTTGATAGGCGAGAACGTTGTGGATGCAGAGGCTGCAGTGGTGGAAGGAGTAATTGCATTGATGGGACAAAGTACTGAACAGTTGATAGAAGATTTCAGCATTGTGACATGTGAATCAAGTGGGATAGGTGTGATGGGAAATGGACAAAAGTTACCAATGCCTCCTACTACATGCAAGTGGAATAGAGCAGATCCTAATACAATATTGAGGGTATTGTGCTATAGAAATGATAGTTCTGCAAACCAGTTCTTGAAGAGAACATTTCAGTTAGCTAAGAGAAGTTAATAACCAAAAATGAAGGACAAGATAGAGAACTGATTTGTCAATGCAATTTTGTTGTATGATTCTTATGATCTTGAGACAAAGGACAAGTGGAGAAGTTGTGCAACTTTGGGGTGGGAAAGGGTTGTTTGTATTTATTCATTTTTTATGGTAATGGTAGAGGGAGGGAGCACATGTGTATTTGAAAAAGACAAGTTATGGAATGAAGAAAGAAAAATGAAAAAAAAGAACCAAGAAAGCAAATGTTTTGTTTCATTATTTGATTTGTACAGACTGCAGAAAAGTGGTGAATTGTATTTATTCAAGTAATATAAAAAAGGTTTAACAAAATTATGTTACAAACATGCTCATATCAATGACTCAAAGTGATGATAAAAGTGTATAAAACTTATTTATTCACATATTTGGATGATTACATTTAGAAATGTTTGTCTTCAAATGTAATTTATAATTTTAAAATTGTTTTTCAGCTCGATTTTACTAGTATCTAAATATAAATGAATTTTATAAGATTAATTTATTTATAATGTTTTCATGCAGAAGAAATGCGTTAGGATTTTATATATTTGAGACATTCAAAATTTGTGTGAAGCGGTAACAATTAGTGTGTGGATACATGGTGAATTAGTGTGTGGATACATGGTGAAGACAATTTTTTCCATTATATTAAATTTGCATCAAGTTTTAACCCTAAGTCTCTATTTTTTTATATTTTAATTTTGGATGCATTCTGGGAACACATCCAAGGGATAGCACCGAGATGCATATTTTTTGTTGTTGTTGCATATGACCTATCCCTACTTAGAGAGTCAAATAAAGATTTAAATGAGACGTTGAAGACGAATTTTAGAAAAACATGACTTTTACTTAAGTAGAACTATGATGAAGTATATGAAATATAAGTTCAACAAAAGGAGAAACGTTTTTAACCTAGATGTGAGAGTTAAAGACCATATCATCTCATAAGCCACGTAGTTTATATATCTTGAGTCTGTAAAACAAAATATTGGAGAAATAAAAGAGAATGTAAACCCCTGTTTATATATCTTGAGTCCATAAAAAATATTGGAGAAATAGAAGGGAATGTAAACCACTGAATTCAAGTTAGGTGGCTGAAATGGAAGAGGGCTTCAAGAATTTTATGTGAGACAAATGTACCGTTCAAGGTGAAGGAATTTTTTTATCTGATTGTGGTAATACCTGCGATGTTGTACATGATTGAATGTTGGACGATTAAAAATCAATACGATAATAAAGTAAGTGTATAAGAGATGAGAATGTTGCGTTGAATGTGTGGTAAGAATAGACAAGATAAGATTATAAATAGAAATATTAGAGAGTGTTGGAGTTACACCTATAGTAGAAAAGATAGCAGAAAATAGATTTAAGTGGTTTGCGTTAAGGACAATATATCAGATGGAGATGAGTCAAACATTAAAAGGTAGAGGAAGATCTAGAAAAACTATAAATATTACTTATACTTTGGAAACTCTGTCAGTGTGTTGCTTATAACTCATGCTACATAGATCATTTAGGAGTGAAATTTGTATCATTAGAAAGTAGACAAATTCACGAGTTAATGACTAAAACAAGTTAAATTGGTTATGTATGATATGAGATATGTTATGTACAGGAACCAAAATTGCGATTGATTTATGATGATGGACTCCTGATATGGTGATATGGATCTCTGACACGACAACACGTAGGTGAACTTACAAGGTTAACACTTCAATGTTCAAGTCAGTTATAGAGTCCTGTTTTGAATTGATGTCGTCAATAACAGAACAAAATTATGAGGTAAAGATTGAGTTTCTTGAACAAAATAAGAAACCTATTAGGTTTTACAAAGGAAAAGAGAAGAAGGAAGAAGAATAGAGATTTGGTTAAATCTGTTTTACTATTCACTTTCTCAATAAGGGTTCAAAGATTACAAGTGAATAGCAACAATTAATCTCTCTCAACAACCTGAGAAAACTAGTCTATTTATAGACTACTAAGCTAAATTAGGATACAAGCTAACTTAACAATTAAACTTACAAGTAAGGTCCAATTCAACATGTTAACGATCCTACCATTTCAACTATTGGATGCTTGAGCATACTTCGACTACAGCATACAAGATCTGTATGTGAACAGACTTCGACTTCATACTAAACCTTCTGTCGAACCATGAAGCTACCCTTGTCGACACTAGAGTTTGACTCAAAATACCACAAATCTTCACCTTGGAACAAACTCTGCACAAAACAAAGGAATAAACTAGCTTTCATCATACAGCTTTATCAACTGCATACAGTGGAAAAACTTGTTTCTCGATAATGTCTTGGTGATCATATCAACAACATTGTCATCAGTCGAAACCTTCAGCATTTGGACTTCTCTGCGCTCGATTATCTCTCTGACGAAGTGCAACCTCACATCGATGTGCTTGGTTCACTCATGATATGCTGAATTCTTTGAGAGTTGTATTGCATTTTGAATATCACATTTAATAATGATAACTCAACCTTGAAGTTTCATCTCCTTAGCAAAACCTTCAAGCTACAATGCTTCTTTCACAACTTCTGTGAGGGCAATATATTCTGCTTTAGTGGTTGATCAGGAAACAACCTTCTGAAGTGTCACTTTCCAACTTATTATTGTGCCGAACATAATGAACACATATCCAAAAATTAGATTTTTTAGAACCCATACAACCTGCATAATCAGAGTCGACAAATCCTTTGATTTTGAATTTGCTATCATCACCACAGGCTCCACGATAAATCAGGACTCTTCTTAGAGACCCATTAATCACTACTACAAAATGCGCAAACAACAATGCCAGGTTTACAACGGATTCATATACACTGTTGTAATAGCTTAAAATTTTCACACCTAGTGAATAGCTGGATTTATAAACAGTAATTTAATGACGGTTGTCTTAAAACACCATAGTAATAAATGATGTGTAGCAAGCTTCGATTCCCAACAACTATATTTTCTTTAAACATTTTTTAGAGTATATTAAGCATGTGTCACTTAAGTCCGTTATTTAAAAAATAATTTGTAAATGATTTTACAACGGTAAAGTAAACCAACCGTTGTTAGAGGACTTACAATTCTACTATGGTTGGTGAAAATTCTTGCTAGCACACGATGGATGTTATCACAGAAGTTATAACATTCACTGTGACATTCACTACAGACCTACTATTATGCAGTAATTATAAAGCAGTAAATACATAGTAATTGTTTACCCAGTTCAGTGTCAACAACACTTATATCTGGGGGCTACCAAGCCAGGGAGGAAATGCACTATTAGCAGTATCAATTCAGAGTTAAACCTCCAGTTTACACTTCTCATTTAATCACTATTCAATGACACTTCAACCTAGATACTCTCTAGTACCTGAGTATGCCCACTCAATCCCCCACTATCACATACCTGTGATATCAGTTACAATTGCAAAAGCAGTTTTGAAGAGACACTCCAAAACACACACCTTGATCTTGCTTCACAGCTTTGATCAAGGAACTCACACACCCTTGCTTCACAGTTTCGAGTGAGACACAGCCTAGAATCTACCTATCCAATGCAATCATCTACCAGACAATTGCTTGGAGTACAAGTATTCCTAAACAGACTTTATACGTGAAGACTAGCCTTCTTCACTTCCTAGGACTCTCTGCCTTGCACTCTTTATTCTTCTGTCAATAGCTGCTCTTCAGAATTGCTCCTTCTGATATTTATAGCCGCTTCGGTCCTTTGGGCCTTGGTGCATAAATTAGGTTTTATCCATAATAAAACCTCTCTTCAATATTCTGCACGTTTGCCACTTTAATCAGGTACATATTAGTTTCCCCAAGGCTTCTAAAATGTCTCCTGCATTCCAGCTTGAGCTTCTAATTTGTTTTCTGAGTTCTAGCTACCAGAAAAACAAACCTGCGCTTGATGTCATACGACCTATGTCATAACATTGAGTATGACATCCAACTTAACTTATAGTTAGCTGAGTTAACTTACCCTGCACAGTCCATATTATGAATGTATCAATATCAGACATGACATTCATACATACACTAATATATTGCCACAAAATGCAGCCAATCAAGAGCACTTACAAACTCCCCCTTTGGCAAATTTTTGGCTAAAACACTCTGTACTTACACCAGAGATTTACACACAGCAAAAGACTTAACATAGGTCCTGTCATGCAGGTAAGTCACTTGCTGCTCAAGCCTCTCTGATTCCTCACAGTTAGCTCTCACTGTTATGACTCACCCTGTTAGCTATCTGTAGAATACCCACTACAGATGTCACTCTTTGCTGAGTGAGTAACACATAGAGTTACTCCCCCTCAACTGATGCATCTTACCAGCTGAGCACATACCCTGCAGTCACACATGTTCATCCAGTCTGCTCTGGATGTTATGACCTTCAGGATAACATCCTGAAGTACCCACACCTGTGCTACTCCCCCTGAAGGGATGCATACTATTCTGCTCACAACTTGCAAACACACACTAGATTAGCTCCTAGCTTCTTCAGCACAGAGCTCCTACATGCACACATAGCCTCAGGTTATTACTAACAGCACTAGCGGCTGTTATCACACATGCATCTTCAGCATCACCTGCAAGCACTGCACAATGGTACAAATGCTCTAGCCAATAACTGCTGTATTCTATTATCTATATTTCCCTCTCCCCCTTTTTAGCCACAAATTAAGATCAAACTAATATTAGAGGGCACACCATCCTTAGCTCAGCAACTAGTAGCCTGAGCTCCACAACAATCTATCAGCTCATTACTCTTCCTCCTCAGAGGCAGAACTGGAACCTATGTCATTAGCACCGGTTGAAGCATTCTTCGCAAAATCGTCACCTGACATACCCACACCATCAATATCAGTTTTACTTCGTTCAAGGCTTCCAATAAAGGATTCTAGCATGATCTTTCTTGCAGTTGTTGTACTAATGGTTTCTTCCAAGTCCCTACATGCTTCCTTTAATTCAAC